TTCGGGAAAATGGAGTGAGCCGTTCCTAATTCCATCAATAATATTATTTGACTCGTTTATTAATTTTGAGCACCTCTAAAAATGATCAATGCAGTTAAATCACAAGTAAAAACTCATCATATTTTGCACATTTTAGGTGTGATTTATTCGGCAAAATTTTGAGGTGCCGTTATCATTTTTTGCCGGGATAAGCAAATATATTTTGATTAAAAATTTCTCTTACTTATGATAACTTTAGACCCCACGAACGGTTATATACTATGTTAATTTTTTTGCGAAAAATTTTAGGAACAAACTCAAAGCGAATTCGTACACCACAAGCATAGAAGCATATTTTTGTATAACATTTAAATCATTTTAAAACATAATTCTTTGAGATGACGCCATCAAGTTATTGGTGGGGGTGCGTAGCCAAATTTTGGTTACCGTTTAAGCATCTACATGATATTCCTAATATATATAATACAAAGTTTGGCAACAATTGGTGCATTAGTTTCGGAAAAATAATACAAACCGACACAGACACCAGGCAAACAGAGAGATCCCGTTTTTGTACACTGGAGGTCATGAAACGTCGAGAAAACATGAAAATGGCAAGTCGCCCGATGGAGTCAATTACTATGCTCCCTTAGCTTGCGCTCGAGAAATAAAAACTGGATTTGTCATAAGAACTTCTAATCAAATAACAGTGTTCTGTAATCAACCATTGCAGAACACTAAGTTTATTAATGCATCTCTTTCAAAAAGGTGACAACATACTTTTAGGAAAATTATTATTACACAAATTAAAAGTAAAGTATTAAAAGAGAAACAGATTGTTAAAATCTCTCTATATAAATCCTCCACACCACTGATAATGTAGCTGAAATAATATTATTAATATTTCATATTGTCGCATGTAATAAATACAAATAAACAAATAGAGCTTAATGTAATCCGCCCAGGTGCTTTTTATTTCAACAAAATTAATGCTTTCTGTAAATTACTCATTCACGTGCTAATCGCGTACGTCACTTGTAACATTTATATACGATGAAACTTTTAATTGTACCATCTGTAAAACTTATCCTTTTGATAACACTAGTTTACAAGGTTTTATATCCAAAGACAAAAATAGTTGAATCTAAAGGATTTGGGTTCGGGAAATTAAAATCTGAAAACAGAAAAAATCCATCACGTCAGGTTTTTGAGATATTTATATAAACATACCCCGTATTTCTTTTCGTTTATACAACTCTTGTAATTTTTTTATTTTTAAATATATATGAACATATAGTTCTTTGAGCAAATTTGTATCATTTTAAAAGATCATTTACGTAAATAAATAATATGAGTCAATTTTTCAAGCTAGATTGTCATCAATGTTTTATTTAAAATTTTTCAAGTATTGATTTTAGAATAATTGGTTGCTTTTGATTTTTCTACGGGAAGTGATAATAAAAATGTGAGGTTGGCCTCATAAAGATCTTTTAAAATGATACAAATTTGCTCAAAGAAGTATAGGTTTATCTTTAAGAATAAAGAAGTTACAGGGGTTGTATCAAAGAAAAGCAACACCCAGTATATATTATAAACATTATGACTGAAAATTAAAAATGATTAACACTTTCTTTTATTGGCAGTACTGTCAGTTTCCCTTATAATAGACCAACAGTAACACATTTTCGTCCCAAAAACCTTCATACCTTCTTTTTAAGCATATTTGAACAGGTCTTCCAGCTTTAGGTACTATAATTTTACCACAAACGTAAGAAAACTGATTTCCACTTACTTTGCACGATCTCGAAGACATTTTTTATGCGACATGGTACATTAACATGAATCAGTTTAACACTAACAAGAAGGTAAAATCAAAGTTCATTATTTTGGATTTATGAAAAAACCTGACGTGATAGGGATTAGCCGTTTTTGGATTTGTTATCAGTAAGTAATTTAGAAGTAGAAAATATTTTTTTTATTTTTGGATACGAAAAAAAGTTTAAATTTGTAAACTAGTGTAATTAAACCATTAATTGTCAAATATATTTTGACTTCCCGAGCGTAAACTAAGGAAGTAAAGTAATCGAGTCCATCGAATGAATGGTTTTTTTCATGTTTTCTCAACGTTTCATGACCCCTAGAGTGTGAAAAAAGTACTCTCCCGTTTCTGTCTGCCTGTCTGTCTATCTGTCTATTTGCCTGGTGTGGTCGCGCGTTCGATTCCACACTTGGCTTTTCGTTTGTTTTTTTTTTTCTCCCTTTTTCTCTCGCATTGTCTGTTATCGATGTCATAACAAATTTTCTGTTGATGAAATTCCCCACTTTCTCGAAAAAGTGACAATACGCTCCTCTTTATTTAAAAATGTGAAACCTTCTCGGGGATCCCAACAAAACCTTCTCGGAGGCTCCAGATGTATTTTTTTAAGAATGTGAAACCTTCTCGGGGGTTTCAATTGTGTTTTTTATAAATGTAAAACCTTCTCGAGGGCCCCAAATGTCTTTTTTTTAATGTGAAACCTTCTCGGGGATCCCAACTGTCGTTTTTTTAATGTGAGACCTTCTCAGAGGGCCCAAATATCTTTTTTTAAAGAAAGCGAAACCTTGAGGGGGGGGGGGCAAATGTCTTTTTTTCATGTGAAACTTCTCGGGGGTCCCAGCTGTTTTTTTTTAAGGTTAAATCTCGGAATCGCCAAAAGTCTTTTTTGAGAATGTGAAACTATCTCGAGGGTCCCAACTGTCTTTTTTTAAGAATGTGAAACCTTCTCGGGGGTACCAACTGTTCTTTTTTAAAGAAGGCGAAACCTGTCATTTTTTTAAGAATATTAAATCTTCTTCAGATTTCCAACTGTCTTTTTGTAAGAAGGTGAAATCTTTTTTTCTGTTTCACTGTAACTAGTATCTAGTACCTTCTACATTATATTATTACTCCACAGAGGTTATCACGAAAAATTAAAATTCGCCAAAATCAAATTTTATCATTTTTCAGTGAAGCAGTATTGTTGGATTTCGACCAATTTTGTTTACTTTCCAAACGTAAGCTAAGGAATCATTTTCATAATTGTCAAATTTTTCATATTTTCTTGCCGTTTTACAACGTGTGGAATACGAAAATATCAATTACCCATCTGTGGACGCCCCTACCAATAGTTTGATGACGTCATCTCAAAATTTTGCTAATTACATCTCACTTGAAATTTATATTCCCGTATGTCCCTTTATCTAAGATTTAATAATGTATCTACAGTTTTAACAATACGCAAACGAGTTAGAAAAAAATAAAATCTTACAACGTACCTTAAAATCTACATAACGGACATTAAGGTTGATTTAGTGGTTAGTAAATTGTCTAATGTCTTCTTTCTCCCTTTAACATTTTGATACTAAGAGTGATTTAATGTTTAACAATAGTATTAAAGTTTTATTTATCCATATCCTACAAAAAAGATGACGTTATCTCAAAATTTCACTTGTAGTGTATAGAGCAGCATGTTTCTTTATTCTGGAGTATCTTTACCTTAAACCGTACATAACGACCTCCTTTCAAATCTTGGAAACTCACTGGAACGTACGGATTAAATTTAGTAAAAGCTTTTACCTTAATTAGAAAAAGAATCTACAGGACATAGGAAAACTATAAAACTAGTTCTATCTCGAAAACCATTTGCTGCAACTCTGAAAGTTTATAAAATTTAGAATACTCCTGTACTTGTGGTTTATGATTCTGCCTTAATTTTTTACCTTAGGCGTGCAGATTTTCTCAAAAAAAAACATTTTAAGGTTACCGCAAACCTAGCAAATCGTTAATCAAAATTTGTTAAACAAAAATATTTTATAACATCGAGTTTCTATAATATATATAAAAAAAAACCTTTAGCTCAGTTGGTTAAAATGTCGCGCTTTCGATCTCCTCATGGACCACTTTTTTTACTACTTATGATGAAAAAGAAATGCGATACAAAGATTTTTAATAATTCTTGGCGTTTCTCACCGTCTGCACCTGAAATCGCAGTGATTAACTAATCGTTTTGAAGCTAACCCCTATACACTACCCTCGGATAACACAAAGCCTTTTAATTAGTGCTGGTACTGCACAATCCGATAACAAATTACACATCAGGTCTTGGAACGCAACATGTAAGACAAACATCGGATTCGCTTTCAGTATCGCGATTTCCATCTAGAGGATTTAGCGATGTGCGAAATAGGATAGACACTGAAAACGGGATAACCGCCAACTGAAATAGTTACGTTTAATTTCAATGAACTACTTATTAACGCATTTAGCATTTAATCTTCGCATAAATAATGAACAAGTTGTCTTGAAGCCCGCCATACAAATGGGTAAACACTATAATTTCACATTAACTGACTGCTTTACTTGGCACACGAGCTTCCGCTAGGTTCTGTCATCAAAGGGAGGCAAAGGAGCTCAGAGGAAGTCTATTATGTAATAATGTATTTTTTGGGGTGCAGGATTCGTTTAATATTTATATTGGGCTGACGTTAGGGCGAGACGCTAACCGAATTTGTAATGGCATTTGAATTTTATAGTGCAGAGTATGATAAATTTCACAATAACGCTTGACTTATGAAATAGAACGAATAAATACGTCGCAAAAATGGATTTTGTTTGGTAAAGCATTAAAACTCATCTACTGAAATCCACAAAGTCGTCTGTTTGCCGCAAATACTTCTTTTACTTTACGAAATAATTTTGAGAGCTTTTGATAATTCGCAACAATTCCAGACAGAAAATTTAATCTCCTTTGTTATTATTTTGGAATTAATGGAGCATTTATCTTTGATGTAAGAAAAAACTTTAAAACCTTTTACTCTTGATGTTAATCCACTTAGTGCTAAGAATGCTCCGTTTGTAACTCAAGTCGCGAATTAATTAAACTTCCAATTTAATTTATCAATTAGAGCTTTTGTTTCATGCGGCCACACTAGTTTGACAACACCGGCTCGAATTATCCCGATTTAATCTAATAAGCGTTTCTTAATTATTCGTATTATTTCAGGACTCATCACAACTACTTCGCGCAAGTTGGACCGAGAAACTCTCGACGAACACATTTTAGAGGTAAGTAGTAAATTGTCTTCTCGGCGAGGATGTTGTTTTATTTTGTTTATGTGTTTAATTAGTTGAGTCACGTAAACCGCCGGCTTTTGTATATTTTATTACCCAATTTATTTCGAGGTGCTTAAATGGGACGGGTTGGTGAAGAGCGCTGATTGATATTTTAATGATCTCCAAGAATAAACTCCTCGCAACTTCTTTCATCTTAATTAGCCGTCAGGTTTGATATAACGACTTAGTTATTAATAACTAGATTTTTTATTTAAGGTTATCATCATCATTACGGTGATGCTATCTAAAACACACAGGAAGTGCTATTAATGCCTTAAAAAAATATGGCAGTTGTTCGTGATCCAAGTTTTTTTATGTGCTGATCGTTAACCGATAAATAATACAACGCAATGTTGCCGCTATTACGTGAATGGCAATTTTGGTGGATGCGCCGGGCTAATTCGTACTCATTCAATAAAACACACTTGAAGGCTAAACAAATCATGTTTAATATTAATTATAGATACGCACAAAGTACAAACGTACGCAAAATTATTGCATTCTAAATTTGATATGTATAATTAACGGTTTTGGCGGGTGCTTGTGAAAAACTCCCACATTTCAGTTGCAGGAGAAATTTATTTTATTGCAACGCTAATGTTTGTGATTAATAATAATTACGAACAGGTATTCATATAATGTGTAGTAAACCGACTAAATTAACTAACTGTTTTATTTAAATAGTCATTCGTAAATTAAGCTAAAAAGTAATTTCTTCTATTTTTATTTTAAAAAAGAATGTAGACGTTTTTCTTAATTGTGAGCCGTTTCTACTTCCTTCTTCATGGGTATTAAAACATAAAATAATGATTATTCTTGACTTTTTTACTTTTTCAACAGTGTTAAAAAAAGTATTGAGGACATGTATTAAAGTTTTTTTTTCGTTCCACAAATACTCACATTCTGCTATCAGGCATTTTTTTTAGCTCAAGAAGGTACTTTTACACTTGTTAAGCACAGAGAAATTGATCTAGAATAATTTATAGGTGATGATAATTACAGTTAATTAAGGTATAGCATATAATTAGTAATAATAATTTATGATTGAACCACCCATTGGAAATTTCAGTCTTTTTTAGTATTGACCGATCGTCAATTTCATAAAGTAGTCTAATTTATCGAAAACTCTTATTGGTATTGCAACAAAATCATGTAATAAGTTATAAAAATATATTATTGTATTTTAATTAAATAGTAACTTACGCACTTCAATTAGGAGTCATTAACTAAAGCTTTCAGGTTATGGTATCTTCTTATAATATTAAAATAATTAAAAATAAAATGCAAATTTTTTTTAGTAATCCCTATTAGTTAAAATCGAAAACAATTGATTTTGTAGTTTCTAAGTCAAATTGTAAAGTGTTTTTTGATTTTTGTTTCCAAGAACCTCCATACACAAATTAAAAAATGGGTTAAGTTTATCCAGACCGAACATCGCTTGCCCCTGGGATACAATCCAACAAATTCCGTTTTTCAAAAAATGATAAAAGGGAATTTTGGGAAATATTATTTATTTTTATGATAAACCCTTGCAGTTAAAAAATATAGGTAATACCAGTCAGTTAATTAAAAAAAATCGCATAAGGTAATCGACCTTCATTTCATGTTGAAGCATAAGTTTGCTATTCAATTTGATTTTTTTTACGAAAGTTTGGATATCTACAGAAAAACGCAAGGTGCATTCATAAACCACAAATACAGGAGTATTTTATGAAACCTCGATAACAGTTACACTACACGGTTTTGATGTGATGTCATCTATATTGGTGGGGATAATTGGACAAATTTTGATTAGTATTTTACTGTGTACACGACATTTTTATCATACATATAAAATTTGACATCAATCGATCTAGTAGTTTCGGAGAGAGAGAAAAACTGGAAACCACTGTTTTTTTCTACTAGGTGTCGTGCAACATCGAGAAAACATGAAAGTAGCCATTCGTTCGATGGAACCTTTTACTATTTTGTGAGCATTTTCATCATCTTTTGAAAATTTATTAATTAAGTAACATACTTTCACAAACGAAATTAATTTTAGTTCAGGTTTGCATCACTTCACTTCGTTGCAACCTGAGTTATGGTTTAAGAACGAAAGACGATCAAGTTTTTTTAATCATATGTTAGAACTGTATCTAAGGTGACGTGGTCACAATGATCAGACAAATTTTGGTTAGCGCTGTATCACCTACACGATATTCTTAAAATACAAGTAAATTTTTACAACAACTAGTCCAGTAGTTTTGACAATTATCTGTCCAATAAAAGCGTGAACAGACGACAGATAAGTGGAAAGGGAAGACCTACTTTTTCATGTTCTAGAAGCTTCAGAACATCGAAAAACATGAAATTCCACGTCAATTATTATTAATACTTGTTCCATTTTTTTAGTGCTTCTTTGAAAAACTATAAAGTTTCATTTTGCGAAATTTTGTTCGTGATAACCTGCATACATTTAAAGTTATATAGATAATAGTCTAAGAAACAAAAAGGTTCAAGAGAGAATCGAACACTAACTGTACGCAATGCGCCATTGAATATCCTTGTCCGCGCATCGCTTGTATTAGTATAAAAGGTTATTATGATATTTCTATTTTTTGCGAAAATGCGGATGTCTCCGTGGAACTTTCAAGGCGAATTCATAAGTTACAAGTACAGGAATCAGTTATTTTGTTACCTACAATATTATTAAAAAAAATATATTATCGCCCACCAATATCTCCAGGAATTAGGGAGATAGATACCGAATTATTTACCTAGTTGATTTATTGTTATCATTATTGCATGTTCAAATATAATTCCTGCCAGAATGACTTATTTGTGTTATATTTGTCTTTTAAATGAGAATTTGGTACCGTACAAATATTAATAATCAAACTAATAATCTCAAAATCGAACGCAAAGAAAGGAAAAAAACCTTTTAATATTCTTTGTTACGTATTGAATGTATTTCTACACTCACCATTCAGGTAAAAATATAAGCAGCAAAAATTGACTAATATTCATAACGGAAAACCGTAAAGCAAAGACTTTTTAATGAGTAGTCTTATTTAATATAATCAAACGCCACATCCACTCCCTATTTATTGAACAAAGCCTCCGCACAAATTTTTTATCTGAGGTAACTTTGTATCCGCCGAAACTCGGTAAACACGGTTGCTGAAGGCCTCAAATAAGCTCGACCATCTTTCTTCTATCTACCTTAAATTTGAATTTTGCCGAGAGTAATGTACTGTGATGCTATGTGATTAACTCCGCGGAGGAATTCTGAATAGGCTGAACTTTAATATTCTCGATTAATAATAATTTACACAATAAAGCTGTCATTTTTATTTCGGTCGTATGTTTGGGTTTTTCATTCGATTTCCATTAACGGGGATCTCCGAATATAGCCATTAAGCAGGCACGATTTCGCTAACAATTCCGACAGTGTTCATTATTGACTGAAAAAGTTACGTCATTAATCAGTTGTATTGACGAATCTATTTTTGCATTATTTAACCTCGTTCGGTGTGCAGCTGTCAATAGGCGAGTTTTGTCATCAAGTACAAAGGAAATGCTTCCGTTGCATTGTCGGAGTTTGTTGAAAAATGGCACCTTGTTTATAGGCGAGACTACATGTCTGATCTGCAATTTATTTCTCTGACGTTATGGAAATTCGAAAGTCAATGATGCTCGCGACTTCCACTAATATACATTATTTGTGTTTGTACTGGCTTTGTAAGTTTTGTCGCAATCACAAAAGGGTTTGCTGTATTGTGGAGACATTATATAGCAGTGCTTTCTATCTCGATAAGACCCCCTAGAGTACGAAAGGTAGGTCTCCCATTGCCGTCTGTCTATCAATTTTTAGTAGACAGATATTCTCCGAAACTACTGGATCAATTGTTGGTAAATATATGATTTAAAAATATCGTGTGGATGGTGGAACGCCAATCAAAATTTGCTTAATTATCCCCAACAACAATTTGTTTATGGCCTCTTATCATTTTGCGTAGTACAGGTTATCAGGTCTACTCGTGTTTTATGAATCTGCCTTGACTTTTGTCATAATTACACATAATTACTACTTTACATATTGTATAATCTCAAAAAAAATAAATAAATAAGGGAGGAAAATTCTGTCCAAATATCTTTAGACCAATGTTTTCCAACTATTCTCCATCGTATAATTTCTTTCTTATATATGTATGTATATGGTTTTGAAGTAATTCTATCGATCTGTTGATATGAAACATACTGGTAAATTTAGACCCTATCGGAATGAAGCTTTTCTGCGAAATTGTTGAATAAATAAGATTCACATAGAAAAGAGAGAGAGAGAGAGAGGTTACTAGAAATCACATAAACATACTCAAGAGACCTAAAAACGTCCAAATATACTAATATTCATCCCTTATTCGTGCATTCATTCACAGTGAAAACAAAATTTGCAGCCTGGCGTATTTCTTATGTCTGTAGCTTGGATTTAAAAGATCTGAGGAATCTGCTCCTACGCCGCTCCACCGTGGAAAGATTTTCCAAACGCCCATATGTACTTCACCGTTATGATTATCAGAAACCTTTTTCGCAGTATTGAACCGCCGCCGCAGAAGCTTCTATAATTTCCGAGTATCTCCTCTCACAAAGCATCCGAATATGGGAATAATCTGGATTAAGTAACATGTTTACTCACTAAGCAATAATTGAAGTGACACTTACCAATGTCTATGGTAATCAGACAACCTTCGCATTGATTAGAATACGCTGTAAGCTGACAAGATGGCATTAAGTCATTGTAACAAATTACACGGTTTGCCTGGCACTTTCTAAATCTCTCCACTAAATAATCGAGTTCTAATTCCAATTAAGTTGAGATAAGGTTGAGATAATTAGGTCTGATTGTATACAATTTATTTGATCTTGGCATATATTCAGAGCATGGTGAAAACAAACTATTTATTCGCCTCTAA